CACCTTTTAACGCCGTTGCTATATTATAGGGTACAGAGCATAATAAAAACAAAAATTTAACCTAAATAATGCCACAAACTAAAACATTGCAATTGCGTTTAAAAAAGAAAAACAATAGGCATCTTACATGCATACCTTCTTTTCTTTCATTCAACAACAAGAAAGAAAAGCGGAAATTGACAACGACGAAGACCAACAGACATGGTGACGACGCCAAGGCAGACAAACTTACTTACAACCCAGTGAATGCATAAGGCATACATGAAGAGGAATGATCGGAAGGATGAATGGGGCAACTTTTAATCATACCAAAGAGTTTAGTGCACAAATCATTGATGGCATAAATACCAAAGCATACAAAAATACTTGAGATCAAAATAAAATGATTTAAATGAATTTTTTAAAATACTATATACTCGACTTACAAGTAATAATCTTAACTGCATTCCTTTGTTGTTAGCTGGTTTACTGATAGATTCATAAACACAAAACGCTGTGTCAGTTTGTTCGTTTGTCGGTCTTAAGACACATTTTAAGAAGCGAAAAAAATGAAATACAATATAAATCATGTTGTTGTGTTAACACAACATATTCAAATCCGTTTTATGCCCACGCGCTGCAAAAGCCCTCAGAAGGCAACAATCAAACATAGATTGTTGGAAAAAAATTGCCCACAACATTAAAGTTTTCAAATGACAGACAGACAGACAGACCAACTGGATAAGTAATAACTGGCTTAATACAAGTAAATACGTAAATACATACATTACACATAAATTATTTTGGCTTATTTTATAATAAACAAAATTAAATGTACTGCTAATGCAGGGAATTGGGTCATTTCACAACCTAAATAAATATTTTTCTGAAAACCCACTTTATACAAAGAATACAGAATACCGATATTTAAGAAAATCAACGCACAATCAAGGGTCATAAATAAAAAACATAAAAATAACAACTGCAGCCTTTGGGCAAGTAATTAAATACTTTCGATTTAAAACGGCGTAAATTGTGAAAATCTTTGTCAAATCACTAGCATTTCTACTTCATTTTAATTTTTTTACAACTCGTGGGGGTCTTTTCTTTACTATTTGTTAGTTCTTATAGCTGTTAAGGTACACTACACTAAAAAAAATGTGCTTACATAGAATACAAACTACTATGACATAGAAAATAAACTTCATACAAGATTTTTAATATAAATAAAAGAATTATACAATAAACTCAACAGCTCAACAGCTGTAGAGAATCAAGATGCTTATGCGTTTTTCCTATATTTACTTCTGGTTAAAACCATGCAAGAATCTAATGCCCAAATTATAATGGACGACACCTGTTACGGTGTTGGTTGATTCGGGTCCTCACTCTATCGAGATATTTGTCCCTGAAATCCGCGCTAAACACTCAAAACTTGACAACGTCGGAAACTCCTTCAATATCTATCAATATCCAGAAGAACAAGAGCATCGATAGTGTACGGTTATCGTGCCTGAAGGGAATGAAAGAGATTGGAAGTGTGCTGCAGAGAACAGATCAAATGCATTAACGCCTACTAAATACTCCGAAAAGTGCTACGGTTCCAGAAGAAAAACATGCCCGAATTAGTTTAAATGTCTGACATCCGTCACAATAAAGTCCTCCAATAAGAGCGTCGCGGTAAAAATTTTACACCTGAAGCACAAACTGGAATTGTGTATCACAAAAATCTTAAATTTTCAGGCTAAAAAAGGGTTTAAATGGATCAAAGATCAAGTTCTCTTTAAATCACTAAGTACAGCATTTCCAATTGTATTTTAGAAATTAAAAATGTAAAAATATACATACTTTCCAATTGTATTTCAAAAAGTTTTATTTTTATTCCAGAATTTTCCAATAGTATTTCAGAAATTAAGAGTAGAATTTTCAAGTAAAATTTTTCATATACAATTGGAAAATTATAAAATACAGTTGGAAATTTCTAATTGGAAAGTATATTTGAGATAAATAAAAATTTTCTCGAAATTTCTGAAATACAATGAGGAAGTTCCCAAATGCAATTGCAGTGCCGAACTAAAAGTCTTATGCAAAGAAGAGTTTCTAAGGCTAATATTTCGAATTCTTCGTGGAAAACGGAAATACAGCTACCTCAAAATGGCATAATGCAGACCTTAGATGGAGTATTGTTAGGTACTGGGCCTCTAAACCCAGTCTATCTATTGATATTATCAAGGATTTTTTCATTCTGATCGCAGATCCTAGATGACGTTTATCATTTAGAATTTTACTACTGCCATTTTTTGTTTTTTATAGATACTTTATAAGTTTAGTAAATAATACAGTCGGTGCTTATCAAAATAAATCTGTTTAGTACGTCTTTTTATGATTTACAATCATGTTTGAAAATTGTACAATACTACTCGTATACAAGAAAACAAAATAATAAAAAAAAATACACACTGTACCGTTTTAATCCTATTAGTAATAGTTTCAAGTTGGCGCTTTCACAAATAAGAGTAAATAATATTTTCTTTTAAATAAAGCAAAGTGAAAAAATAATACAATTTTATTTTAAGAAAAACATTTCACACAAAAAACCACAAAGTTTTATGAATGAATGAAGTTGTCAGTACATTCGATCTTACAAAAATACAATTTATTTATAGAAAATTTATTATGTTGCTATTGTAAACTGTTATCAAATACAATAAATTTTGAAATGACCTAGAAAAATCAAGTAGTGAAAATTTTGCATAAACAAATTGATTGATTAATAAGATCTATAACTTAAATTTTTCATATTTTTTTTTAATCGAAACCAACACAAAAATGTAACTAATTTGTAAGTAATTACAACGAAATCTTAAAGAATAATGGTTGTAACACACGCTTCACAGACTTAAAGAACACTTATTAAAATTCTCATAAAAGTTACTTTAAGTTGAATTTCTACCCACACCTTTTTCAAACAATCGTAAATTCATATTTGCAGATACATAAATACATTTTTACTTTTACAATCTAAAGAACTAAATGGACTGGCTATTGTTAGAATTTTAATTTTTTTTTCAACATTTTCTATGTAAAAATGGTCAGAAGTATTTACTTTAGCATAAATGAATTTGCAAAAGTATTGATTGTAATAATAATGGCAAATAACCATTAGATAGTCTAACACTTGCGGGTAAATACAGCTGACCCAGAGACCAAAAGACAAATTCATCAAAAATTATGGCTAAAATATAAAAAAAAACTAAACAACAACTCTAGCACACAGCAGATTAAAAACAACAACAACTTTAGCCAGAGGTAATAAAAAAAAACGTTGCAAATAACACAAGTCAAAAGCAACAAGAAAACAATTTCAAATGGATGCAAATTTAACAGATTTACAAATTACTTTTAGTTAAAGCGCAACAAAATTCAACATTTCTAAGAGACATGAACCGCAAGCAGCCAAACAATTAATAAACTATGAATGAGTTTACATTTGCAAATGTACACTTTTGCGTACATTTTTTGAAACATAAAAGTACCAGATGGGTGCCATTTTAAGATTTTTGTAGATTATTTCAATTTAATTTTAAACAATTGTTTCAGACATAGTTCTGTTTAAGAAAAAAAAAACTTTCAGTTTTTTTATAGTTAAGCTTAAGGGGGTTCATTACGAATAATGCAGACAGAGGGTCGATCGTTTGTTTTATCCTCAAATTTTCATATAAAATTTTTTCAGTTAGACTTTTTTATTGGAGTTACATTAAACGTTATGGCCTTCGGTAGGTTAGTGTTCTAATCTGGTATACCGGAGGTGGTGGGTTCGATTCCCACAATCCCGATAGAAGCCTAAGTGTATTTCTTCGGATCGGATCTACATACCCACCTTTCAAACTAACTAACTACATTAAACGTGAATATTGAAGGCGAAATTTCAGCTATTTCAAAAATCAAAGATGTCGTTATTTCATAAATAAAGGCATATATTGCACTTTTTTTATTAGATCTTCATTCCGATAATCAAGTCAAACCAAGAAAATTTACTTTCATAATAAATAGTTAGTATTAAATGTTCAGTAGCTTAATATTTAAAAATTTTTTTTTTACATCAACGTATGTATGTATATCGCCCTAAAAGAACTGGAGGGAACAGATGCCTCATCTCCTTGATTACAACAAAGAAGCATTGGATAAACTCCTTTAAAACAAACTAAATGAGCTTTGAAACTACAGAGGTGTTTTGCAGTCAAAACATAATTACTTCCGAATATTTGATGATAAGATCAGTTACTAGTTTTAGATATAAAAAGTACATTTGAATAATATACTTATCATCTCTTATAATTACTCGCTCTTGAACTCCAATAAAGATATGAGTGTGTTTGTGACAATAATAAAACGAAATTAAAATATACACCACTGGACTCTCCACTAATCCATGTTAACAATCAGCAAGATCAATAAAACATAAAAAAGTGTGCGTAAAATGTTTTTAGTTTTATTTTGTGGGTCTCTTTTTACAAAATGCACCCAATTGCAAGCAATACGTACATACATATGTATGTACGTTGTAGATAGATATGTACATACATAGATACAACTCATGTAAATACAAACAAATTAAAAACGTTGTTGGTTGCCAAGAATGACGTCGTCAATGACAACAACAATAACAAAAGCTATGAAACTTAACTCTGCAGCTGCAGTGACTATAAAATGTTGTTGAGAAGTACGCTCCGCTTAAATGAGACAAAAACAACAATAAAAACTATTCGGTACTTTCGTACTATTACTATAAGTACCACAGCAAAGTACCTCTAACACACAAACAATCGCAAATTTAATATCAATTTCAATTAGATTTCAGTTTCAGTGGATGTTGCTATTGCTGTTGCTATTACTCTTTCTGTTGCTGCTGCTGTTTTTTTTTTTTTTTTTCTATTTATGATGTTTGTATTTTCTGGCTCTTGTTGCTGCTGTTGCTGGTTCGTTACCAACGGTGGAAGAAAATAAGGTATAAAAGGTTTCGTACTCCCGTCTAACGGCTCAATCATACATTGACTCTTTCTGTGTAAAAACGTCTTAAATAAAAAGTGGTTTATTTTAAGTGGGAGAGATATTAATAAATCTCCTGTTCAAATCCCAGAAAAAATATACATATTTAAAATAAAGTGCAAAAACATATAAAAATCAAGTGTTGAAAAAATATTAATACGAATAATTTGAATTTACCAAGAAACGAACACCTTGGCTGAGTGAGACATAAGTGACATCCTGTGAATTACAAAATTTAACAAAAGCAACTGCAACAGCAATCAAGTATTAAGTGCAATTTGATTTATTCAAACGTTCCCTAGTACGTTGAACGTGATCGAATGTCAATAATTCTTGCCGTAGGCCTTTAAACGACAGAGAGACAGACAACGAAATCATGGATATGAAGGTGAATAATAAATAACATATAAAGAACAACACCATTAACAACAACTAATAGTTACAATATATGTATTTAATAAAATAATATTTGAACAAGAAAAACAAATTAAAAAACTAAAACATGTGTAGTGACAGACATAAATGATCAAGTGAATGAATAAAGAATGATGGAATAAAAAAAATGCATGACAGCAATAAGTGAACTTGCCTGCCTGATGGTCAAGTAGTCAACTGTTGCATTGCATTTTAAAAGAGGCAACGACGTATTATACCTATAGAGTAGTTGTAGTTTTGTATATTTGTGGATAATGATTTGGTATCCATTCATCCATCTATCTATCTATCCATCCGTACATCAGGCAGTCAATCAGACTGTAATAGGACTTCAATAGAATATTAATCGTATCGATGGTTTATTACATTCACTTGTATACAGCAATACATAGATAAATACATTCAGTTGCATACATACATATGCACTTAGATACAAAAACTACACATTACATAGTATATACATACATATATAACTGTATCAACTTCCAAGAATAAAGAGTGAATGGAATAATAGTGAAGTAAAGTAAAATAAAAAATAAATAAATTTCCATACTGAACTTTTATATTTTTTTTATCACATTAGAATAACTTTATAACGGTTAAATTCTTACAACGAACGAACGAATGAACAATGTAAAACATTCTTTAAATTCTTAACAGATTTTATAGTTAAACAAGAACAGTGATTGTTTCTTATTATTTATTTGGAAAATTATAACATTTACTTCAATTAAAACATTTTATACTCGAGAAAAATACAGACACATTAGACCGGGTTCAAATTAGAATTTACGAAAGCGAACTCAACTTTAACTTTTAAATATAACAACCTTCATTATTAAAATAAAAGTTTAATTATTATAGATTAGATTTTTGTTTACTTCCCTCTCTGAAATCTCTGAAATCATTTAAATCTTTGGTATGTGTAAAAGTTAATATCCTTATTTGAAAAGCAAATATTCCACACTATTAATAATTGAATATACTTCAGGCTTGAGTTCGAGACCCACTTGGGGATAATGTTTTTGAAAATTCTGGTTACATTCCAGGAAAAAAAAATTAAAATTTTAAAAGTTTATCCCCTATTATATCTGCTTCTTTCTTCAAGATATGTTAACCTGAAGTTTGAGACAACCATAAATTTACGGAAACTTAATTTTTCCTACATTTAGACTTAATTCGTAATAACTTTTCCCATAAAAATACTTTTTGAGTTTTGGAAAAATCTCTTGTAGTCGCTAAGATATCGTTCGTATAAGTTTTCGGTGTGAAATAAATGCAATATCAAAATTTTGGAATTAATATTTGTTTTTAGTTTTTTGTTAATATCTTATAGAACGAAGAAGATGTGTATAACAGAGGTAAAGTCTTAATTTAAAAGTCGACATATTGTAATTTTGGAAGGCATACAAACTTTATAAACAAATATTTCACCTCGTGCCTTTGACCTCCTATAACGTCTCAAATATGGTTTTCTTTTCAAATTTGGGTTTAGATTTTTTTATTATGTACGTTTCACAGTGTGCCTCCGGTGGGTAAGTGGTTAGTGTTCTAGTCTGTTAGACCGGAAGTTGTGGGTAAAGGAGCGCACAACAAGTGAATTTCTTCGGATTTAGTGTAACACACATGCTCATTTCAAACTAACTAACTAACCATGTAAATATGTTTCACAAAATTAGATTTTGTGTTTTAAATTCTTTGAATTATTCCAATTCCAAGATTCACTTCAAACTATTGATTTTTAACGTTGTCCATTAGGTTTGATCAATAATAAATAAATGTGTTATGAATTTAATCATAGTAGAAATTTAAAATTTTATTAATACATTTTTTTATAATTCGAAATAGTTTTTTTTTAGTTTCCGAAGGATACAATATATACAATTGTAATTCCAAAGGCTGCAATAACATATTAAAAAATGAATTCCCTGTGGAGAACTAAATATAAAATCAACAACATTTTTAAGTCTATGATAAAAAAACCAACTACAAAATTTGTAAGCAAACTCTAACATCTATTAAAATATAATAACGATGATAATGAAAGTGACGGTTCGGTCTTAAGTGTGTTAAGCTTCCAAAGTAACTGACAACTAACAGACACCGCTACAGGCATACTACATACGAGTATAAAACACTTTCATTTTCCTTAGACAAAACACACTCGAAAACTCTTAAAAAGTGTAAATAAATAAAAGTGTTGTAGACACTTGGGCTGTGACCCAAATATTTCAAACTCAAGTTCGTCTTAAAATTTGTCAAAATTTCAAATTTAACATTTTGTTATTTTAAGCCATACAAATTTATAAAATAAATAGAAAATGCACTTGTACAACTTGCATTCAATAATTGTATAAATAAACAAATTAAACAGTTTATTATTTAAATTTTGTAGACTCCGGTTGGAAACATTTTGCAACTTTTTAAAGTTCCGCTTTGAATTGTTTCAAATTGCACTCATTTAATTTAGTTTTTATTGGCGAAATAAAAACTATATTAAATGGAAAGAGTGATTTTTTATTAGATAATAAGACAGTGACCGTCAAAATTGGAAAGAACATTTATACTTTTTCCATTCTAAACTTTTTCTTTCGCCAAAAATGCGAACAATTAACTTGTTCGCTTCAGAAGTTACACAGAATGCATATAATAATGAAATGGGATGTTTCAATCTATTTTCAAAAACAGGAAAGGAAAATGAGATTTTCAGCTTTATATTTTGACTAGAACATTTGAATTTGAAATGTGGAAAATTGGAATATATTGAATGATGCTGAAAACAGACATATTTCGAACATATTTTTTCTGAATTGAAATATAATTTTGAATTGTTACTTCTTCTTGTTCATAATTGAATTGTGCAAAATATGGTTTTAATTGACACTGTACATTTATACAGTTTAAAATTGACATGATCATGAAAACATAGAACATTTCATTTAGACAATGTATTTATATAGAACGGCACCCAATAAGCTGGGAGTTACCACTGATATAATTCACATTCATACTAGAAATATAACAAGATTAACTGGTTATAAATTAAAGGAGATAAATAGTATTCATATTGTATACACATGTATACGATATATACGAACATATACGCTACATACATACTTAAATAATTTATTTTATACAACAAATACATACAATTTGTATTATTTTTATTAAAAATTTATTGTGTTTTCACACAAAGAATTACGCTCAAACATACAATTTATCAATATGGTTCAAATGAATTTTGATCGATCGATTGATCAAAATATTTTTTTTATTTTATTTAGTGGCGACACCCTTAAGTTGTCAAAACTTTTGTCAAACTTTTAAATTTTACATGTCAATCAATGTTTCGTTTCTAAACCTTATTAACAATTTTTAATATGATTATTTGGCAATTAATGAGATTAAATTGAAATTGACACTTCCGTCTTGTTTGTAAAGTAAAAAGTAATAATGTATAAATTATTTACACTTTAAGTAGCCAAAAAGCGGTTTTAGACTTTTATAATTAGAATTTGTAATTATAATTCTAGAAGAGAACATACTATTGATCACAAAGTAGGTGATTTCACAGCTGAAGTAACCATTTAGCAAACTCGAATCTAATACTTAAGTCAAATAAACAATTTTCATATTAATTTTATTTAATTAAAATCTAATCTAATCTATTAAAATATGGGAATACACATCCTAAGAGTATTTGGAATGTATGACAAAGATTTTCAGATCTTTTGTCTAATTTTGTTTGGACAAAGAAACGTACACACCCACTGAAAAAAAAATGTCAGCCAAGTATAATAGAATGGCGAATAGTAGAAATATTATAAAATTAAAGCTTCTTCTGCATTCCTGCCATGGACAATGTAGTTAAATGCGTGAAGGTCTCTTTTTGAATAGCAAAATATTGTCATGACACAAAACGTGTTTGTATATCCATAAAATTATTGTAGAAAATTCTAAATAAAAACACACCCAATAACATCGTGATGTTCTTTTGGAATTTTACAGATTATAACAATTATTGTCGCAATAATGGTGACAATTGGGTATTCTGAGGGAAAAGCAGCTTTGCGACGTAAGCCCAAAGTATATAATGCTTTGATAACAACAGACGAAGATTTGGTACAAAGTAGAGCCTACCCAGTGATACAACCCACAATACATGAATCTGGTATTGCTCACTATGGTCCATACAATCCATATGGTATTTATAATCCACATGTAGTAAGACTTGCTCAACCAATTGCACCAGCCTTGACACCGAAGGAGCAGGTTAGTTTTAAAATATCTTAATTTATGCACAAATAATTCAAATAATTATCTTCGGCTAATTTGTAGCTACATTATCCTTTACCTCCACCGCAATTTCCGCCTCAAATTATGGAACAACCTTTAATGCCACAACCTTTATCCGGTTATCCTCTACCGCAGAATCCACCAACAGCCCCAGCAGCAGAAAATCCACAAGCAGCTTCAATCCCACCTACAGGATTGGAAGAGCAACCGCAGCCTACAGTACAACCCCCGACTTTGGTGATGCAATCAGCTCCTGCAGAATTACCTAAAGATCCTAATCAACCTACTAAAATGCCATCAGAACAATTACCAATACCTCTAAATCAATATGGCTTACCACCTTCACTAATACCACTTAGACAACCGCAACCATACAATCCTCGTGCTTATCCTTATGGACCACAACCTTTCCATTTGCCACCATACAGATTCAATCAAATTCCTCCTTTGTATTATAATACTTTGCCAGGTTTAAGACAACAATTTCTACCACCCTATGACTATCTGCCAACGGGTCCACAATTTCCCTTAAGCAATACAATACCTACAGACAAATTATACCCTCAACCCCCCAGCCAACCGCAGCCATTACCAACAGCCGCACCTACACTCCCTCCTCTTACTACCGCTGAAGAACCAACCGAAAGTCCAGTACCATCTACAGACTCCACAGCACCTGAACCGGCTTTTGAAAATATCAAAAATGGCTCAAAAAGTAAAGATAGCAATGTACCAGATGTGCCACCACCACCAATACCATCGGGAGCCAAGTCTAAACAATCTTAAGTTGTCTTATATTTAAATAATCTTAAATATATTTGTGTATTGTATGTATTAGACGAATTTTTATAAGTTATTAAGTATTTATTACAATTATTATATTTTGGATCTTCAAGATACCATTGAACATACATATATCATAAGAAATCACTATTAGATTAATTAAGAACATAAAAACGCACCATAACAAAAAAAATGTCGATTTTAAAAATAAAAAATATTGCAAATAATTTTGATACAGAAACGTCTGCCTAAACAAGTGAATTCTAAATGATAATTGAAAATTCCTTTATTTGGTTGTCTAAAAGTGTCACATTTATATTTATACATTTCTAATCTTTAACAATTAGTAGAAACCAATTGAAATGAACACTTTTTAAGTAAATAACCAATTGTTTAGTACTAATAAAAAAATAAAAATATTAAGTATTAGGGTTATAGCTAATTTTTTACAAAAACTTTAAATAAATAATAAAAATCGTGTTGGCAATATTCACAAAAAAATCTTCTGCACCAAATGTAAAATTGTATATTTGCAAAAAATAAAAAAGTGATCACCTCATGTACATATAGTATATACCGAAAACATGGTAATGACTTGTACTTGCGCAACAACTTACTTTTCAATTACTTCTACATACTGTCTGAATTATTTAGGGGTCTAGTAATGACTTACAAATAACTTTATATGTAAGAACTTACTTTTAAGCCTTGACATTTTGTTTTCCAATTTTATTTTATTACACCAACGTCGGCTTTTTTATTCAAAAACAGAACTTAACTTCGTGGTAAGTGCTTGACTTAATATGCTATTTAGGAGTAAATATACCCATTACTTGGTAATAAAAGTTTTTGTGAACTTTTTCCGCGAGTACAAAAAATGAAATAACAGTAAATTTATTATTTTTATTGTGTTTTTAATGAAAGATTCTTGATATTATACAATACGAGTATTATAATAGTATTAATTATCATCTAATAAACATATTTTAGATGTGATTAAGATATCGTTTGTAAATTGGTTCGCTCTTTTCAATAAAAAATTTAGCGTAAATCGGTCTGAAACACGATTTCACTTGAGAAAAATCGTGGAAAGGAAACAGATAGTGGTTATCCATGGAAAATTACCACTCTTAAAGACCGTTAGGTGATTAAATTGTTCAAAATGGGCTCACGACAGATTTCAGTGAACGTTTCCAATTTCACAAATGAGCATATGGGCAATTCCATACGATTGTATGTGACATTCGTTCATCCCATTCGGAACCTTGTTTTCCAAAATATGGATTAAAATATGGCGATATGACAAAAAACGGAAGTGTTTTTAAAGTACATGTAAATATTTATGAAAATCTGGGAATTTTGTAGGTGTATCTTTTTGTTTTAATTTCTTACACTATGGGACATATTTTTCATTAGTAGTCCATAATTTTCAAATAAAAAAAGAAATTAATATAATTTTATAATAATCATATTTAAATATCGTACGTGACACATCGTATGTGACAGATTTTTCTCCTGATTTTTTTTTTTTAGGTTATAAAATATATATTTTGGAAATATATGCGTACACACACTTCAACAAATCAAAAGGAGTAGGAAAGTGCAGTCGGACATGGCCGACCTATATACATGTTTAAGCAATTTATTGATAAAAATAAAAAACTGGAGTTACATGGCGACCAGGGACAAATATGGACCGATCTTCATAAAATTTTGGGGTGTGATTTTAATTCATATAAAACTTATTTGTGCCAAATTCTATCATAATACTAGTGATTACAGGTGAGTTACGGACGTTTAAGTGTTTTTCTGAAATTAAACATTGAATGGAACTAGGCTCAAATGAGGTCCAATCGTTATGAAAATCGGCATAATGGTTTAGGCTTATAAACATTTTAGATCTGCCGATTTTTGAAGGGATAGTATTATAATTAACAGAATTATGAGCTAAAAAGTAATATTTTCGGGTCCCTTTGTATGGGGGCGAGGTGTAAAAATAGACCGATTTCAAAAATTTTCAACAGTCTTCGTCTTTGGTGCTACAAAATATCATATACCAAATTTTGTTGAATTATCTTCAAAAATGCAGAAGTTATAAGGGTTTTATTTTTTCAGTCGTGGTTTACCTTTTCATGGAATTGCCCATATGTGTGACTCTCTTTCATTAAAAACACAAATAAAAATTTACTCTTATCGCTACTACTACTCAGTTAAACTAGGCTTAACTTGCTGTTAGATTAAACTCGGAACAAATTTAGGCGGACTTTAACCGATGATTCTGTTTTTTTCAGTCAAAAACATAAACAATGAACAGATTATCTTTATCAGAAAAACCCGCCCTAAGGGTTTAATCTATATTTTGTTTTTCCAGTAATTAGTTACGTTACATATAATCTTAGTTTAACTGAGTGATATTGGCCAATTAAACCTTAGTTATAAATGAGAAGACACAATCAACAAAAACAATAAAATAATCAATTCGGAAGAAGAAAAACTTAATTTTTTAAGTAAATAGTAATTTTGTTATTTGTTTTATCAATATTATTATAGTTTTAAATGTTTATTTTAATTTTTTCTAAAATTTTTAATTTTACAAAAGTAATATTTTCAAAAAACAGCTGTTCATTGTTTATGTTTTTGACTGAAAAGTTGGCAGTACTGACAAAGTTAACTGCTCTTAAATCCATAACTGAAAAGCACAATTATCGGTTAAAGTCCGCCTAAATTTGTTCCGAGTTTAATCTAACAGCAAGTTAAGCCTAGTTTAACTGAGTGGTAAGAAACCCGCCCCAAATCATATATTTAGCCTTAGCATACATATCTTTACAAGAAAAAGAAGTACGTAAAGCAACACAACATCGTTTATATCATAAAAATTTGTCACGGTAAAAAAGAAAGAAAAAAGAAAACGTATATAGCACAAATATAAAATCGAAACAAACGTAAGTATGTATATAGCAAAAATATAAAATCGAAAGAACTGTCCTACTTGGAAAGACATTTAAAAATTGCTCTGCTGTTAAATTTTGTCGGTTACGTCTGTTTTGCGAAAAGGGGTCGATATGTACATATGTATGTATAGTAGACTGACTCACTTTGTATGGTGTTTTTGTTACCCCTCTCAAAATTTACCTTGCTTTGTTTTATAATGATTCCAAAAATATTTTAAGTATAGCGATGACCGTTCGTGAGCTGGACCAAATTTAAAAAAGGTATTTTTGAATTATTTTTTTTTAAATTTTCGTTTTGTTTAGAAACAATATACCCAATATGGGGTATCGTTTGAAAGGGGTTTTAAAGCAGCATCCAATGATAATTGTTATATTCCAAAAAATTAAAAATTGTTAGGTTTTTCATTAATATAAATAAAATGAATGCACAAATTTTCCTCACCACTGGACGTGGCTTCAAAAACCCTTTCAAATGATACCACATATCGTATATTTTGTTTAAGAAAAAACTCAAAAGGGACTTTTTTGTAACCGGCCCAGCCGGTCGGTCTAATGGGAACTATCATATTTTGAGGGGGGTAACTCAAGCACCATTTTTTGTTAGTCGGTCTAATGTATAGGCATTCATGCGGATGCAAAGGTTTTATTCTCAGGGGTAATATCTAAAAACACTTCCTATTATTTGCCAAGTCATTGAACTCTTTAAATTAACTTTCCAATTTGGTAATTTTTATGTGATTACCTCAAAGAATAATTTTACACAAAATAATTGCAGATGGAGCTATAAATGCATTTCATATTATCACATAAACACTGACTGGCAAATATATTTATGTACATGTATTTATGTACATACATATGTACATGTACATATTTATGTATGTACATATGTATGTATGTATAAACATATAAAATGTCAAAGAATCTTTAATGATTTTTCCCCTGATCTCTAGAGGATACATGTGTTATTTTTGTTAAAACATGAGTAGCAACAATAGCTTAGAACAAACTATATGCAAAATTGCAATAATTTTTAAAAGAATTATAATGATCATCATACATTTATACATGTACACTTTCGCTTTCATCCACAAACTGACATTTACACCAATTCAAGTGCAACAAAAAGTCCAGGCACAGTCAATGACTGTTATCCCCACGGGATTAAACATATGGTGATTAATTAACCAAACAATATTAACATGGAATACTACAAAAAATATATAAAAGGAGGAGATTTTAAACAACCATCTACAGTCTAAAATTGTTCTTTAAAGTGAAATGAAACTAAATTTTAAATTTATTTCAATAATCGTCTTATTGCTTGGATTGTTCTGTGGTACGTAAAGAATTGGAAAATAAAAATATATAATTTATTCGAGGATCTTTTTAATTGTTTAGGAACCCAAGCAAGCACTTTTAAACCGTTTGTGCGCAGTCGTTACAGTTTACGTTGGCGTAAAACTACAGAGATGCCCAAAGTTTGGGATTCATCGACAGCTTCCAGCGTTAATCAGGAAACGGAAAAAATTTCTTTAAAACCCATCGATATATCGGAGAACCTCGCCGACAATACCATACATTTAACAACTGTCAAGCCATTATTGAAAACATCTACTCATTCGACAGACTATGATTATTATAATAATGAGGTCGAGGAAGAACATAAAAATTAACTCGACAAAATTTTATAATATTTTTTATATGGTTATAAAACTAGGAAAAAAGAATTAAGAAAATTAATAAAAGTTATTTTTAATAAAATCTTAAACTAAATAATCAATCAAATGAAAGTTTTTTTTTTTTATACAAAAAACTGATTCTAAGCCAAGGCCAATTATTTCGAAAGTAATAATACCCTAAGTATTTTCTTTTAGATTGAATTTTATTTTAAGCAATCAACCATTCTTCAAAGGCATTCCCAAATTTTAATTCCTAGAATTAATCCTTAAAGCATTCGATGTATTTAAATTAATTTCCTAATGAATGAATTCCTATGGAAATTAAAAATATTTCTAAATGATAAAATTTTATTCGAAATCAATCAGATACAAAAAACAGTTAAAATACTTTTTAACATTTTGAAATAAAAAAACTTATCATTGAATTTCTCAGGAATTAATTCATTATTTCCAATAATATTCGAATCTTTATGACAAAGCTTATTCCTTTAATCTAATAAATAACAAAAAAAATTAAAATAAAAATAACCTGCGAAAAATTTTAAAATATATTTTTCACGGTGTAATGTCATTAAATAATATTGAATTCACCCTGTATTATAAATACATCTATATGGCAACATTTACTAAAACAGCTGAAATCGTTATAACATAACGTTCATCGTCGACAAAATTGTTTATGTTTAAAAATTTTAACAAAAAACTAAAAAATATAAATAAAAATGCAAAGAGGAGTTACATTATTATGTTCATCAAGACTTGGCAGGATTCAATATCAAAAGTTGTTCGCTAGTACATTTGATGGAAAAATCACTCCTCTTCTTCATCCCTCTACAACAGAAGGTTTAATTGAGTAAGAGAGATAAGATACAGTATTAAAAAGCTTTAAGTACAAGATTTCAAAAGCATTTTTGTGTATTGTTTAAAGTTGCAGTAAGAGATTGAAGTTGATTGAGAATACAAGATTTGTTGGACCAACAGTAACCAAAAGACAGTATACTACGACAGGCGTAAAAACTCAGACCATTGCCAAGAAAAAAATGGTAAGTAATTGGATACACATTTTGTGGGATATTTTATATAAATAACATATAAAAAAATCCTAAACACTTGTTGAGTCATTTTAATAAATATTCAATATATTATTTTACTTAAATATGTACAAAGTATTTTAAGAAAATTTTAACCTTAAGGTCATTCCAAATATTGATAAGACCTAAAAATCTTGAAAAATAAAGTGAAAGTATTTACAAATTTAAAAGTTTAAGTGGTTCATGTGCAAACACAATGTTATTAACAAACAATTAAAATAAAATTAAAACCGGTTTAAATAATTTAACATTTTTGATGCTTTTGTTGAGAACAAGAAGTTCATTGCATTCAAATTTTAGTTGTAAATGTAAAATTTATCAAATATTTTTGTTTCCATTTTAGACTAAACTTACCGAACAAGAACGTGCCGAAGTTTTGCAACCTCTATTGAATGCTGGTTGGAGCATGGTAAATGGTCGGGATGCCATATACAAGGAATATTTGTTCAATGATTTCAACCAAGCTTTCAGTTTTATGTCCGGAGCTGCCTTGTTGGCCGAAAAAATGAATCATCATCCTGAATGGTTTAATGTCTACAATAAAGTCCAAGTAACTATGTCAACACATGACGTTGGTGGTCTTAGTGCTAAAGATATACGTATGGCCAAGTACATGGAAGAACAAGCTAAACGCTTCCTTTAAGTTTTTGTTGAAATAGTTTGTAATTTTTCTTTTGTAAAAATAAAGATGTGTTGTTAGTTTAACTTAGCTTCAGCTTTGCCATATCTGCTGGCAGATGTTACTGGGGAACTTAAACTATGTTAGGTTAGTGGGTTTGGAAAGAATTTCATAGTCAGCTTTTTCTAACACATCGGGGGAGGAATCATCCAAAGTATAGCCAATAGCCTTGAAAAATGCTTTAGCATTTTCATTATTTTTGAGTACGGTGAGTACAACCTTCTGCATTTTCCAGTGTTTCGCACATTGCTCTAGGGCCAGCATCATATGTTTGCCCAAACCCTGTCTTTGGGCAGTAGGCTCAATTTGCATCTCGTAACTGTGGATTGAAATAAAAAACAAATAAAACTTTTCTAATTCTTATATTTACAAGGAAATCAATAAAACTTACCAGTACAACACGCTGTGACCATAGTCCATATCAAATCTAAACATCGAGTAAGCCACAGGTGTCTTATTTGCGTCTACTGCTACCAAATATCTTGCCCATGACTTATTTAAATCACTTTGCTTTACTTTTGGCTGCCAACCCATACTTAACTGTTTGTAAAACGGCGATACATTACGTTCCGCTAGTTTGAAGGCCCATTTCAAAGTTTTGCCATCCATATCATTTTTAGCTCGACTATAAAGGAAGAATTCCACTGCAGTACTAGATTTGTAGCTTAAAACATCTGTTATGCTTTCGAAGGGATTCTTTGCTCGTGATGCATTCTCTATATTACGATGCTGGTTAGATGCACTATTTACACTTGTATTTGTCATTTTGTTCACTTATTGAATGTTTTTATTAAAATTTTATCAGTCCACAACACAATTCACTAAAACACGACACAAAAAACTTTATTACAAAAAAGTCCAATAAGAAAGGCGGTAAATAATTGTTTACATAGGGTCGCATTTGTATTGCAAAAAAAAAACTGTGGCATCACTGTATAATGAATATGTTTTGCAATTTCTTTTTTTTTTAATTTATTTTTTATTCCAGTGGAATAATTCCACTGTAATTTTAACCCAAATCTTTTTAAAAACATAAATTTTGATGGTAAAAAAATTGTTTATTTTAAAATGAAATATGTATTTTTAAAATAATCGAATCTGGCAGCACCATTTACAAAGCATTTTCGTAAGCAATGTTGGTAAATGTGATAAATAAAAACGCCAATATTTACAATATTAAAAACAAACACCGATATTTATCCATAAAAAACTATATAGAATTAGAAATATTAGATTTTATAAAGCAATAAGGTGATTCGTAATTTTGGTGGAGACCAGTAAACTCAGGACCGGAGTTCGGGAGTTCCAGCTTCCTATGCCAAAGTATAGGTGGGATTGGTAGTTCTTAGACTAGGCCTTTTTAGGCGTAAGCCGTAATTGGTGATGGCGTTATGATATATCGAGGCCATATAACTCCTCCTTACTGATATCATACTGTTAAGGGGCAAAACCAAACCGAGGCAATAATTAATATATAATTAATTACAGTTACAATGAAAAAATAACTAACTAACACATGAATTATTTTTTGCTGACAACACAAAAACCTTGAATTGGCACCACCCTTCACAGCTGTTTAATGTTTACATTTTTGAGTTTCTGCAACATTTTATAGAGAAGTTAATTTTGTTAAAAATAAAATGTTTAAAAAACCTAAGAGCAACAAAAATATTACTCCACCCTCGGCACCTACTTTGGATGAGATTTTGTCAGACATTGAAACATTCCAGGTGGATGTAGAGCAACTGAGCAGCAAAAACAAAACACCCGACGTAGCCGTAAACAATACAGAAGAGTGGTGGTCCGTTTTCGAACAATTCATTGAGGATTTAAAGTGTTTGGAAATGGTGCACAGTGAAGTTGAAGGCTTTAAAATTAAACTTGAATCTTTAAAACTAGAAATTGATACAGAATCAAAGCTATTGAAGAATGAAATAGACCAACAGCAGCAACTGATTGACGTGGCACTGGAATAACTTACCGCATTATGGGTGGAATGATTTCATATTGTGTCCACTGTTCATTTATTGTAGGTTGATAGTCTTAAGATGTATTAACCGCCGTTGCTACAAATAATAAATGTACCGAACGTTATATGTATACCTTTTTCATAGTACACACATGATAAATATTTAATAAAACAAATTTTAAACAAAAATTTATTTAATATCTATGGATTTACATATCCGTGTTATTATTAATTTTGTATTTGTTTTTTCATATTAATTCTTATTAAAACTTGACTAACCTGGCGTGTTGAGGAACAGATACGGAATTGGATTTGAAAGCAAACATTGGATAAATGTGATTTTATATTCGATAATACTAGATTCAACTTATTATATTGAATTTCATTAATATTGAATTTCACATAATATGTACATTGGATTAATAACACATTATGTATGTTATTTGTCGTTTTAATTCCAATTCCAACATTAATTGGAGTCTATGACAAATACATGATTATACTTGATATATCAGTCCAGGTCAGTGCAATGTTTGTCAAATTATAATTTTCTACCACAATCGAAATAGATTAACTCTTACGATCGATACAATGTTATCAATTGGAATCGATCAAAACAATAGTATAAATTAACCAGAAAATGTAAAATTAATAAACAACATTTAATATTTGCAATGAACTTTTAAGAACAATTTATTTAAAGCAAACGATAATATGTAGTATAACTTTTTTAAATATTCATATATTTTTTTTAATTTAATTTGAGTATGTTCTTCTTAAGCAATTCTTTTATTGTATAACTCTTTATAACATGATAAAGTTATTGAATGTCACTCTGCTCTTAATCCGACTTAACGGGGACATATGACAAAACAGCTGTTGACAATGGAGCAACTTCGAAATCAGAAATTGAAATCTGGCCACTAAAATAAAGATAAAATTAAATTTTATATATTTGATAAAATTATTAAAGAAAAATATATTTACGTTTTAGTGGCATTAGATGCATTGCTGAAATATTTCACATTCATTGTTTCTGGTAAACTTGCGTTGCCCAAGTTAAGAGGTTGATTAAGCTCAGTGGGATTAAAAACAACTAAATAACCAGGATTTCCAGACTTTATCCTATGCAGAGGCAAAATATAAATATTTTTTTAATACCAATAAAAAAAAGTTGTATATAACAGATACATATATGTAAATATGTAAAGAATATATAAAATGTGATATTTAAATGTTTAGATATTCCCCTTACCTTTGTCTAATGGTGGTACCATTAACCATTTAGTTTAGTTATTTGTGTATTTAGAAAGTAATGTTAGCAAAGTGTTAAAAGATAAATGAAAATGTTTAATGAATTTATTAGACAATGTCATGCCATATCTCATGAGTTAGAAATATATTAGATATTGTTAAAAGGAAAATATTATTTACCTGGTGTAAGCAACCAATGGATCTACCGATAACATATCAAAGTCGCCATGCATGTAAGAGGGTGACGAACGCCATTGTTCGAATTGGTCGTACACTTTATTTGTAATATTACCGTATACTTCATCACCCACGGGAAGCACAGGTGTGCCAGGCAACAAAGATAAGAACAAATAAATGGAAAATGGACTGACAGTTGCTTCATCACCCAAATCGGCAACATTCCATTGTACCCAATTGTTATTAACGTCTTGCATAATGCCCGCTAGTTCGCTGCTCAATTTCTTGCCTTTGGGGGCAGCTAAATTCTTCACAAATTGTCCATAGATTGGAATATCGACACCCATCTCTCCTGCGCTGGTCTTGTAATTTTGAGGACGTATGATATCATCAGCCACCGAAAGGAAGGCATCAGCCGAACTATTCTTAACCACGGCACGATATTCATAGAGAACATCTCCCAAACCTTCCTGGAATGTGGTTTGGCTGTGAGTCCAAAATCCATATTGAGTTAGATCATAATTTGTAGTAACAGCTGGTATTTCATTTTTAAAGTTCTTCGATAATATAAAGAATTTGGTATTCTTCAAACGTATACCCCCAACACCCAATTCTATAGCATGTTGAAGCACATCACTCAATTCATGTTTTACGATAGAGTCATTCATATGCAAGTCGTAAAGACCATCACCGAATTGTGAAAGCACATAATTGCCTGGCATCACTTCAGCCCAAGCCGAACCATTTACCAAAGACAACCAATTATTAGGAACTTCGACCTTTTCAGTCCATACAAATGCCGAACGCTTAGTTTCATCGTCTAATGCTTGTTTCAATAGTCTAGACGACTTAGGTACGTAATTGGCTGTAATATCAAGAATAACATGAACCTTGCTATCCTTGTAGTGATTAACGAGGTTCTTGATTTTTTCCTCAACTTCTGGTTCCCGTATATTATAAGTATCTTCTGCTGGTAACTCATAAATTACACCGCTGGCTTTCATTTGGCTAACTACCGCAACATTTTCATTGTTCACCTCAAAAGTGGGGAATTTAGCTAAAATGCCACTCTTGTACCAGGGCAGTGGTTCAGGTGCAGCGCATTTTGGTGCATCAACAATAATTAGGATCGCACCAACCAACATTCCCAACCAAACCAACCAGAATGATATAAAGAATATCCAACGCAAACGTACCCAGAAGGGATCATTGGCATATTTCATTAGCTCCTCTTTAGTCATGCCGGTAAAAGCCTGCGCAGATTACAATAAAAATAATGATACTTAAAATATGTAGGTAGTTCGGATAGAGAAAAATATTATATACATATATGCTATATTTCGGTTGATGCATTTAAATTTTGTTAAATGATTATTACCAACCTCTTGTTTATCCTAGGCATACATTAAAAAAGTGATACAAAAAAATGGATAATTATTCCATTTTACATATTCTTAAAACTAAACACACTTACCTTTCCATTGACAACACCAATATCGATCTTAGCATCTCCATTTTGTTGATCTCCCTTAATAAATTTGACTTCTTCACGCTTGTCAGCCAATTTTTCGTTATCTTCGGCACCCAACATTTGCTCATCGGCACCATCATTTACATTGTTCTCTTCCTGCACCATTTTGTTATCGCCTGAAGGGGTTTCCTCTTTCAAAACAACTACGTTATCAAGTGGCGATGTTGAACACTTTTCTACTGCAAATAAGAATTTTTATGAATGAATGTCGAGCCTTCTTTGTTGTTTTAAAGATAACGTATTATACGATGTTTATATAGTAAATTGTCTTATCTTTATTTTAAAAGTGATTTATTGTAATAACCATAGCGGTTGAATTCAAAGTTAATATTAATATGGTTGAGTTGAATTGTTTTATTAATTAATTTGTATTTATAAAGATAGACATATCGTTACTTAGAACTGAAATAGTCACTCCAAACAACTTTTATCATAGCTAAATTCATGAGTATATTCAAAAAGATTAACAAATATTTTATAAGCCTTGGGATTGAGCTTAAACCTTTTTAAAAATTGTGCAGCAGGTCTAAAGGCTAGAGCTAGACCCAGCACATTTTCGGAAATATGTTAGTACAAAATATGTACGTATGTACCTGTGTATATGTACATATTTCAATATTATTATTTTCGGTATTGGTTTGAAAATTTATGCCAGTACTTGGGAATGGACTTATTTATTATTTAAGATCTTGTTTAATATTATCTAAAGATAAAACTCAAATTAATTTTGCATAATTTTCATAAGCATAATCAAAATTTAATGAAGCTTATTAAAGTCGTTAATACAAATTGAATTAAATTGCTTTGTAGTTTGATTAACTACAATACATATTTTTTCTTAAAGTGGATATGTATGTAGTATGTACAATAATTGTATCAAGTGGAAAAAGTTTTGCTGACGCAATAGATACTTGATATTTTAGTATACATATTCCTAAGATTTTGCTTACATATGTACATCATTTATTCATTGTCACAAAAGCATTTCCTTTAGAACTTTGCCACGTGTGGCGAGGAGGGGAATTTACAAGTTATTTTACATAAGGTTAAAAACCAAAATTGTACGTAGATTTCTACACACAAACCAGAGTACAAAATGTTTAACTTTTGACACACCCATGGTCGCACTTTTCATAAAACATTTTTTTCACTAAGTTATTTTTTATCTTAAATGTATTACTTATTAAATTCTTACCTTTATTGATACTTGCAAATTTATTCTGATCTTTAAGTTTTTCTGTATCTTCTGAAATGGGTTTATAAATTTCCACTTCTTTGTCAGTCTGCCTTTCGGAACAATCTAACGTTCCACAGTTGCTCACATTCACTTTTCGACTGTTTCTTTTTAGCAAATTTTTCATTTTTTCTTTCTATTTTATATTCGTATTTTTGGGGGATGAAATTCTTGAGTTACCAGATGAGTAGATTCGTTGTGACTTGGCAGCACTGAAATTCAAAAACATTTAAATTTAATGTTTTAAACGTTTGAATTTAAAATTTGACTTGATTTATTTTTATGTTTACGTTTGTTTAACAATATGAATTTAGTGTTTTTATTTATACAAAATTCTCGTAAAATTTTCTTTTTATCAATAAATTTATCGACAAATTTTAATTTATCGAAAGAAAATATCGAAAAATTTTCTGTTTATCAAAAATTTTATGATAAAGGTATCGTGCTCTTATTAAATAAAAAAATAAAAATTATTAAAAATTTAGACAATTTTTGCTTTATATCAGAAATTTTCTATTTATTTTCATTACAAAAAAATCTTTTTGGAAAAATTCTTGATATTTTGATAATTATTTTTTTCTTGAAAACGTTTACATATACATATGTAGTATTTCTTTTAGGGCCAATCTTTAGGTGAAAGATTAGCGATTAAATTAAAATTAATCCTCGAAAGATGTTTTTGAGTACTCAATTTGTTAATTTTGTTTGCAAGTTTAAGCGCCCAGTGGAGGTGGTTTAATCGTAAGCACGAAATGCAAAAGTGTAAACAGCTGATGCAAAAAAATTAATAAAATTTTTATAAATATAAATAAATATAAAAAATGTTCTATTTATTGATTAGTATAAATTTTTGGACACTTGAAAATACATTTTTTTGTTTTTAATTTAAGATTTTATTAATTTTCATATTAAATCTTCTTCTTTTTTATAAAATATGCATTGTTTTGATAACAAACAGTGACGTTTTCTGTTGTTTTGTATGGCAACACTGCGAAGTTTAATCTTGTACTCAAAAACATCAAAGGGGATTAACATAAGATTAAATTTATTTTTAGATTAACTGATCTGATTATTAATTGGCATTTGATTACCATCTCAAAACCCCGCTCTTATTGATCATTGATTGATAAATTTATATTTATCGAAAAATTCAATAAAATTTCTATAAATTTTGATTTAGTAGTTTTCGATAAATTTCATTTTCTTAGAAAAAATAAAAATATTTTTATGGAAAAATAATTATACATACAAAAAATTATATATTTCTTGATTGAGTTTATTCATCAACATTTTTTATAATTTCATTAGAAAAAAGATTTGAGTGAGAATATCGAAAATACATAAATATATGTATTAATTTAAATTTCGCTTGTTAATAATTGGAAATTACTTTAAAATAATTTGTAAATATGTATGTATGTATGTATGTATGTATGTATGTATGTATGTATGTATGTATGTATGTATGTATGTATGTATGTATGTATGTATGTACATGATTGTTTTTGCCGTTATAAAATTATACAAGAGGGTTTCCCAGATTAAAGGAATGATGCAAAAAAATCTATTAAAAAGACACCTTTTTATATAATAAATTATTTTTTAATTTAATAATGACGTCTACTGTATAAATTACAACAAAGAGTGAATAAAAGCCTTTCTTTAAATCCTTTTCATAACACTGAATAAGCAAAATTGCAATTTTTAACATTTCATTATTAATAATTTATAAATAAATATTTTAAATTATTATGACTTTATTAAAATTGCTATAATTTTAATCCAAAAATATATTCATTTTAAATTTTTAACAATGAAATATGTATGTATCTTTATAATTTCTGATGTAATTTTGCGTACCACTTTCTACAGAAATGTTTGTATTTTTTAAATGATCACTTTCAGCACGTACGTAACGTTCAGACCGATGCACTTAACCAAACTTAACTAAAGTCGTTCGAATATATGAATCTAACTTTAAACGCTTGATTTGAGCTCAATCTGAAAATTGAAATTGCAATTTGCAGACTTGAAGAAGCAGGTTTGAAGAAATGTACAAAGAAATCATAATATGTGCGATTGACTGGCTATTAATACAATGCATACATGGACATAATTCGCAAAAGTATTCATGTACAATAACGTACTTTTACATCAAGATCAGGTTAACACAAAAATAATTTCAAAGTTTTTTTTTAACCAGGAACTCTATAAATATATTTATTCAGATAAGGAAAACGTCTGCGTATTTATTGTATGCGAATTTAAATTTATGTAGTTTGAAAACTTATAAGATAATTTTGTATATAAGTTTGTCATTCTGTCTACATAAAAGTGTAATTTTTGTGTTATGACAATTTACTAGCAAGTAATCAACATACAATGTATAAATTAGGGTGGTATACACATTTTATAAAAATGTTTAATACAAAGGAAAGTTACACAAAATAAAAAATTACATAAATATGTATATGTATTTTTTTCAGTTTTTTACCAAATCTTGAAATAATTTATTACAAAAAATTACCTTAATGTTTATTCGTCCACACTTGTATCCTATGGGGTGACCCTAACGAGAGCAGGACGAGAAGCTTCCTCAAAATGAACAAGTCTGAGGTTAGTATGATTGTACGTATTCTGAGTGGACACACAGTATTACGGGTACAGCCGAGAGAGGACATTGAAACTCTGGAGCATATTCTTTGACATTGTCAGGCTTTCGCCGAAATTAGATCCAAATATCTTGCGAGTAATATTATTCCGTAAATAACATCCCTCATCAAAAAATTCTGATTTTGTATTAAAAAAAAATTTAAGAAGAAATATCTAAAACTGTAATGCATTTACCGCGGAAACTATTTTGCGCTCGGGACTTTTATACTTTTTTATACTCTATGAGGAATGGGTAGGGCCGATTAGAAATTTTCAAAAATTCTATAAAAGTGACCCGTATGTACATTAGAGTGCTCCAAAAAAACGAAGTTGCGAATTTTGCCCGTCCCCCCTCTAGAATTGTTCTTTGGGTTGTAAAACTATGTCATACAAGAAATTAGGCTGATAACGTTAACAGGTGCCGCAACGGCTCTGAAGTTTTCAAGTGCATTTACAAGGGGAAAATATCGATTTTTTCAGTTTTTGCTCAAATTTGGCAATTTAGTAATAAATTTTGAACTTAATTGTAAAGGAATCATAATGTGCACAGATTAAGCATTTCGGAAAGATATAAAACACAAAAATGACTTGAAAACTTTAAAAGTTATTGCGAATTCCCCAGGCCATAAATTCGAAATGTGACAAAAAAAAATACTTTTTTTGGGATATATTCTAAAAAATCATTTTGTTACTTAAAATATATCTATAATTACTCGAATATTAAGAGATCTCATGGGGATTTATGGTCAATAGCATAAATCCCCATGAGATCTCTTTAAAATTTTGAAATTTGTTTAACAAAGATTCAAAAAAACTGAAATTGGAGATTTGAAACTGCCGTTGAAAAAATCAAACTTTTTTGAAAATAGCTGAGAACGAGTTAGCTTTATCTTATAAGAGCAAAAACTAATATTCGAGTAATTATAGATATATTTTTAATAACAAAATGATTTTTTATAACATATCCCAAAAAAAGTAATTTTTTTTTGTCACATTTCGAATTCATGTGCTGTGAGACACGTTAATGGCCTGGGAATTCGCAATAACTTTTAAAGTTTTCAATTTTCGTGTTTTATATCATTCCGAAATGCTTAATCTGTGCACATTATGATTCCTATACAATTAAGTTCAAAATTTATTACTAAATTGCCAAATTTGAACAAAAACTGAAAAAAATCAATATTTTCCCCTTGTAAATGCACTTGAAAACTTCAGAGCTGTTGCGGCACCTGTTAACGTTATCCAATCAGCCTAAATTTTTGTGTGACATAGTTTTACAACCCATAGAACAATTCTAGAGGGGGGGCGGTCAGTCAGACAAATTTTTTTTTCCTTCATGCAAGCATTTCACTGAAATAAATGCTTTCGAAATCGAAATTTGCACCAAGTTTAGTACTATGGGATAGTAGGCAAGATTTTCAGCTCTATTGGTCAAGATCTGCCGAAGTCAGAGAGGGTCTAAGTTGGACATTTTGGTTATACAGGGTTTTATTCAAATTAGTGTAACTTTTCCCCTATTGGTCCTACCAAAAATTGTTCAAAGGAGTTTAGAAAGCTATTTCTTCATTCTTTCTAAAAACATTTTTTTAAATGTTTTTTTAATTATTATTTTTTTAAATGGGCCCTTTTTTGCTTAAAAGAAAGCTTATACAATTTCCTTAAGGGCTTTATAGCCCCATAATGGGATGCGAGTGGGATATCTATCAAAAAAATTATTTTTTAACTCAAGAATAATTTTGTTCAAAATTTGGCACTTAATTTTCACCTATTTTTTCAAACTGGACGTTTTTGTTGTATTTTTTACTTAAAATAAGACTTACCATTTCCTTTAAGAGCTTTGTGGTCACTTAGTGGGATTCAAGGGTCATATGTGAAAAAAAAATATATTTTAACTCAAAAACTTTGCTTTTGAAGTTAAAATATTTTTTTATATTGTATGTATATCTCACTCGCATACCACTGAGTAATCACAAAGCTCTTAAAGGCAATGGTCTAAGCTTTCTTTTCATTTGAATAAAACCCTGTATGAGCAAATTGTCCAACTTTGACTCCCTCTTCTCCGGCAGTTCTTGACTGATAGAGCTGAAAATTTGTGTCTGACCTACTATCCAATAGTACTAACCTTAGTGCAAATTTCGTTAAAATTAATTTTTTGAGTTGGGTCACTTAACATGCATGTATGTACATTGGGATGCCATTTAAAGATACCGCTTCTCAAAATGTTTGTCATGTGCCCATGTTCTGTAACTTTCGAGTCGAGAAAAAAACATTGAAATATTAGAGTCTTCCACTTTTTAGTTGCGTGATTCAAATAATTTTTAAACTAAACACATTACAATTAACCGAAATATATTTGAATTATATGTGTTCACCCTGTTTTAAACAAGAAGATTATAAATTTTTCGATTTTTTTTGTCGATTCGAAAGTTACAGAGCACATACATGCACTGGGATCAATATTTGGTGTGATATAAATGGATATAAAGGTCTTTTTATAAGATTTTTCCTATTTTTTCATGTTTCTCGAAAAGGAATGATATGATATCATGTGTAAG